GCTGGGCCTGGGAGAGCATCTTGACAGGTCTCCGTGGGGAATGCTGAACAGCTCACCAGGCAGTGCAAACGGGGCCATTTATGAACGCTGAGCAGCCCAGTCAGGGAATGTCCCTCCTGAGTGAATATGCAAATGACCCATTCATATAAATGTGCTGCGTTTTAGATCCAAGGGCATTTCCTGTTACTCTTGTGTGGTGTTGGTCTCTGTAACCTGGTGATAGGGACTTATGAGGTAAAGTTGCAACACTGATGGTTTTATGAGTGGAATGTCTGAAGGGCTCTATGGGGAGGGCATCAGGAATGTTGTCTGTGACCTTGTATCTAAGTGATTAAAATCTCCCAGCCATTTTTACAGCACTTTTCAGATCTGTTTACCTCTCTTTACCTTACTTTTTGCCATGAATATATTCATGGATGTCCCCAGTGTCCTTGCCAGAGGAGATAGTTGGACTGTTGTCCTGTCCAGATTCTCCTGACAGTAAATGCCTTCCTTTGGGAGAGAATGCTGCTGCCATCTCCATGGGTGTGCAAGGATTCAGCTGTGCTAGGAGCTCTTCCACACGGGGGCTAGATAAAGTGTAATCTTTGCATGCACACGCACCCAAACAATCAGGGCCGACTCTGGCTTTTTGGATGCCCCAAGCAAAAAAACAAACAAACAAACCAAAAAAGAACCTGCAGCGCAGCTGGAGAGCGGGTACAGGGGGACCGGCTGGGTGGGGGGGAGGGAACAGATGGGAGAGAGAGAGAAGGTGGTGGCCAGGGCTACAGCGGGGACGCTGCCACGCGGCGCCTTCCGCTGCGCCGCCGCCTGCCGCGAGGGCTCTGCTCCGGTCTGCGGGGAGAAAAGGAGAGGACTGCCCTGCAGGGCGGCCGGAGCGGAACAACAACAACAAAAAAAGCTGCCGTGCAGCCCTAGGATTGGGCGGAATGCTGCCTCGAACAATCTGTCGCCCCAAGCACCAGCTTGCTCAGCTGGTGCCTGGAGCTGGCCCTGCAAACAATGTATGTAGCCAGCACCACAAACCACCCCCAGAAAGGGCTGCAAGCCAGGATCTCGCAGCCCTTTCTGCGAGATTTAGTTGGGGACGGGTCCTGCTTTGAGTAGGGGGTTGGGCTAGATGACCTCCTGAGGTCCCTTCCAGCCCTGATATTCTATGATTCTATGATCTCCACCCCCTGCACCGGCCATAGAGATGGCCAGCTCTGGAAGGCGGTGTATATGCAGCATACACTCCAGAAACAGAGCTGCAGCTACATTCTCCTTGCTTTCTGTGGGGTTCAGAGAAGCACTGAGTAATTCCTGGTGAAGCTTCTTTTGCTGGGCTGTGCTCCCAGTGGAGACCTGCGCCAATCGGTGTATGTGAGCTCTTTATCTGGAGAAAGTGTACCTACCTCCCCCTCCTATGCAAGGAGAGTATAGGGGTCTTTGTCCCCTTCTAGTGGCTGGTCTTCATAAGAGACCAGCTCTCCTAAGACCCACTCCGCAAAGCTATTTTGACACCTATCTCCCATTGATTCCAAAATGGCACCCTAATATAGTCAAGGGTCTGTGCCTAAGTGCCCAGCTCTGTGTAGACCAAGGAGGTTTTTGCATTGGCCTGTACCACTGGGAAAGGCCAGTTGACAGTGGTTTGAGTGTAATCAGTCTGCACTGCAAAAAAAAAACCCAAACAAAAAAACACAACAGCAAGCCTCAGATCCCAAGTAAACTAACTTGGCTCACGGGTCTAAAAATAACAGCATAGATAACCTGTCAGCATAGATATTGGCACTGGGGGGGGGGGAGCCCAGGCTTTGAAACCTGGCGAGGATTTCAGAGCAGTAATGAACTTAAAATAATATCTATATCAATGCAACAATTCTTACCTTTGTGTAATTTCTTACCCTGAAGCCAGAAAACAAGTAACAAACAGAGAAGTCTGTGAGATCATCTTGATTGTCTGTGATTGGAAATGTTTGTTGATAAACACACAGAGGAAATCAACACATTAAAAAGTTGTCAGAAAGGAAAAAACCACTTGTGTGAATATGCAAAAGGGTCAAATTCTGGAAGTCACCTGGATTATAGCTCCAGGAAAGCTGTTGTGAATTATTGAGCTTGTCTGTTTCATGCTGCAGTTGCATGTAATAACTATTTATAGATAGCGTTACCATTCGTCTGGATTCCCCCAGACATGTCCGGCTTTTTAAGCTAAAAATAGCGTCCGGGGGGAATTTGTAAATGTCCGGACTTCCCCCCCCCATGCAAATCACGCGCGGCTAACAGTGCTGCCGGCCGGCCGGTGTCACTTACTTGGGGCTCCGACACTCAGCCAGAGAGGGCTCCTCCTCCTCCCTCCCTC